CGAGTGTTCCCTTTAACAGTGGACCATACTGTACACACACAAGCACGAGGACATACACAGGGCAAGGAAAAAAAAAAGGAAGAAGTATGGGAGACATCAGAATTCTCCAGAATTTCAGCTTTCGCCACACGTTAATAGAAGCGCACTCCTTATTAAGAAAATTTTGTTAAGAAAAAAAAGTGTTGGCATATCGCTCTCACGGGATTTTGGGAGACACTGAAACGAAACAAAGCTCTGACGGAGCGCCTATTTACGTAGCGCCTTACGCAAATACATTCGCGAAACAAACTTATTTTACGTTATTTGGGCGGAAACCACATAACCTACGATGCTCGATCGAGAACAATGATCTGAAATGTGTGTATAGCACATCTTTCGTGAACGACCGTAACTGGAATGGAAACAATTTTCTTTCTGTCATTTTGTCCAACCGGCACAATTGCGGGTGGGCGGCGGTCGCATATTGATAGAGTCGAAAGGCTGGAGGCCCGTTTACCGCGCGATGCCTCAGCACGTCAAAACGTCTGATGGTCGAAATTTTCGAAGCCTTGGTTCATTACTGCAAGCCTCTTAATCATATGGTAGTTTCCGCCTGTAAAAACCAGGATATTGTTACTACAATCTTCCATCTGTTAGGTTACAGTTATACGTCACTATCACTTCCATTTCACAACTGTTTGTTTCAGGAGGATTTCTGGTCTCGGGTGCCTGAAGTCTGCGTGCGCCAGCTTCCAGGCCCAAACCAGTTTATTGTTTTACCTCTGTAAGGCCACAATTGTGTATATGCGCACATTTTTTTTAGAATAGACTTATTGCATAGCTGCTGTTCTCACGCACTTCTCTTCGTTCCAGTGTAAACGCACTCGATTACGTGGCACAAAGCACTGACGCTTCGCACTATTGAAGCAAAGAGGCGGAACCAATTTCACATACTGGGTACAACGTTTCACACATATACCAGTGACGTGCCCTTGCCTTCCATTGCACAGTATAGTCGGAGACAACCGGCAAGAACACAATTTGATCGATGCAAGCAACAAAACATACGTGAGAATACGGGAAAGCTTAAACAACAGTCTGATGTCTCCAAATACATTCACGTTAATGAAGCGTCTTTGGTAAAAAAGATACAGATCGGGCGTGCAATGCTCAATGCTTCGTGAGCGCTGGTCGTTTTCGAGCAAAGCCCACTACAAGAACTATCCCTATACTCTCAGAACTCATATACGGCGTAATATACATTTTTGGCGTTGCAAATGCGCAGTACATGTCGACCATTATGGCTTCCGAGATCAGCAGGCGGCGTGCCGCTAGCTTACCTCGGAGGCTACGCGGCCACTATTCCGCAGCACCAGCACAAAAAGAGATGGCGCCACATGTTGCAGTCAGCGATGTCCGGCGCCGTTCAACAATTCGCGTACGTACCCATATAGAGGGCACCAACAAGTTTCGAGGCCGTGCTTTCGCACCGAGTTTGTTTGTTTCAGTTGTACAAATTCGAAGCGCGAAGAGTAAGGGAAGTTGCTCGATCGATAAGTATGCGTGAACTCGCAATAATTCATATTTCTAATACGTTCATCCACAATGAAGGAGCTGCCAGTACTTCCCTTTTTTTCTGTTTGTTTTACAGTGTTTCGGAAGGGTACAGACCTACAATTAACGGCTTTCATGCGGAACTGTGTTCCTAATTAACAGAGAACTCGAGTTCTTTGCTTTTTTGAAGCTGGTAGCACAAATTCAGGCTACTGAAGATTCCAGAAGCTGTTTCAAGGATCACACTTGGGCTAAGTGAAATAAACTGAAATGGGCAAGTAGTTATTTCTGCGTACTGTATATTCGTTCTTTTCTGCAGCTGGCCCATTCGTTATACTGTAAACTGAAATACTCTCGTGATCAATAATCTCGAGCCTGATAGAGAACTTTGGCTTTTCATTCGAAGTGATCTTTTATGTCTTAACTGGCTCGCCATTGTTAAGACTATGGCCAGCGTCAGAATTGGGCGGTAATTCTGCTTACCGAAAATCCCAGCGTAGAAGATATTACTGAAGATTTGATCACACCCATGTAACAGCTCATCAATAAATAAACACATTTACGTAAATGGCTTCACGTGCTAAATGAAAACAAAGTGGCTTTTTGTCATTATCGTATACACTATGTGTCAAGGACTGCTGCAGCTGACTGCTGGACGCAGCCTAAAATATGTCGGTTCTCGTTGCCGAAATCGGAGGAATAAACATAAACTGAGTAATCCCTACGTATCAAGAAGCTTGTACGTTGGTGTGCCTAGCACATGAGTGTTAACTGTGCCCACCACTGGGTAAAACTGTTTCGCAATAAAAAAGAAAAAGAAGGACAAGAGAAGAAGAAGAAGACAGAGAGAAAGCCATCTCTCATGTAATGCTTCGAATCACTTCAAATAGGAAAAAAATGAAGCTGGTGACGAGGGCTGCGAAATTGCACACAACAGCATGCTTTGTTCTTACAGCCTCACACTCAGCAGTAGCATATATTCAGTGGTATTGCAGCTAAGTTTCGTATACATATTTATATATTTATACTATATATATACTGGCGATATTTATGTACATCTCAATTACTGGTGGCCTGCAGTTTATGCCACGGGTTTTGTCTATAGGGTTTCCTTCTTTAGATCTCTGAAGACCATTGAGCGTGGGAGAAAACAGCCGCAGTTATGTTGCCGACACCACGGAGTTAATCACTGCAAGTAAACGTATATTGCGGAAAAACGCATCATCCCGTGTTTGTCTCGATTCCCATAGGAAAATATAACAGAAAGGAAGCTATACCTTTGAAACGAAAGACAGCGTCGCTCGGGTCGGCGACAACAAAGCCTAACCATTGGAAAGGCCTCTTGTTCGAAAATATGCGCGATATGTTTTTTTTCATATAATGTAATTTTCTACCTGCTGTGTGGTTGTGCGAAACAGCCCGCGCCAAAACGTGACCAATTTTTCTCCCCTGGTAGTACAGGCATGCAATATAAAACTCCAACATACGTCGATTTACAATAAAGTCAATGAACCATCGAATATGCATCGTCTTGCGCAGTTAGGTGTGCAGTGCCAGCTGAAAGTGACTAACGGTACAAAGTTTTGTCGAAGTACTCACAGGACCATCTCGTTCATAAAGCACGAGCTTCAATGTATTATATATAGTATCAAACACCCAAGACGTGGATCTTTTCCTCGGGACACCCAATTTTACAAGATAGTCAGCAAACAGTACTTTTATAGTCATGACACGCCACCTTGCTTCGAAATTGTCACCGAGAAATAGCAGTGCTCTGACGGAATCTTTTTCACGAGGAAAATACTGAATTTTTTTTCTCCAGAACACAGCAGCCATAATTCACACTTGAACTGTTGTCCACACAAGTCATTAAGAGAGATAAAAATTTTTCTGGCATAGCCACAGCGCAGAGCGCTTACAACTGTCCACACCGAAAAGATCTTTGCCATCGTGGTAATTAGGAAGGGCTCAAAAAGTTTTCCATCGCCAGCGTTGAGCACGAAAAAGCAAACGCGGCTTCTATTACACGCATTCACTATAAATCTTTAAGCGCTCACCTTAAGTGGGTTCTTGTATACAGGGCCTCATCAAATATCACGTATACCACTGCTTTCGAGTTCATCGTGTTCGTATTAAACGGTTACGTGTACGTACGTTCATTTCGCAGCGGAGCAAGAAGATGACAAGCGCTTCTGTAACAGTTGAAACCAGCCGCCCGGAGTAAAAAAAAAAAGTCCACATAGAGGGCACAGGAACAGAGTGATGGACACGCGTACACATCACGCACACTCGTCTCAGCAGAATATCGTTCACGGCACCAGTTCAAGCGCACGGCATACGGGCTGTAAAGTTTGACCAGCAAGGCTTTGCGGTCCGTCGATGGCTTTGCGTCCGTCCGTCTATCGCACACGCTCATACGCACCAAAACATGGCACGCACACATACACGCAAATAGGGCGTTCCACAACAAAGATACTGCTGCAGAAGGACGCATCTTGCACACGCGCACACTCCGTGCCACGTACTGCGCGAAGAGCTCGTATCCTTAAAAGCCTACGTGCACGTGGCAATAGGCTTCGTTAGTTAGTGAGATGGAGCTCAGTCGATTGGCTATGCAAACCTGTTGACCGTCGTCAGATGGTACATTATTACCACGCTGAAACTGTTGGCTGCATGATGTGAGCTTAGTTACGGCGACATGAAGTGAACCAGCAGGAAACGAGAGGGAGCTGCGTGCGCCTACTCTTTCAAATCTTTCATTCGACGAATGTAGGCGCTGAGCCGTGCTCCCAATCTCCTTTTCTCTCTTCGGCGAATCTCTTGGCAGGTGGCACGTAAACGCACGGTGCCGTGCACCGCCCTTCCCCCATGCTACTATCTGTGGGATCTATAGTAATTCGTCGCTATACCCGCCCGGTTGTAAAACAACGTCTAAGGACGTTCGCTGTACAAACTTTTCCTACGCTGGAACATCAGCAGACACCAACTCGAACACACTTAAACCGGGAAACTTTTTGCGAGCATCTTCGCGAAGATAAGGCGTCACGGAGGGTAGCGCGTGCACACGTGTCAACATATATACAGCAGGGCGTCTATGTACACAACACACTCATTGCACAACACATCCTGTACTAGCAACCAGCCTTGCCGTCCTGCTGCGCGGCCGCCATGGCAGCCGCAGCAGCGGCGGCCATCGAGTCTCTGCGACGCTGTTCGAGTCCGTTCACAATGTTCTCGATGCTCCTCAGGTCGTTCGAGGTGGACCGCGACGACAAGAGCGAAGGGCGAGGCGCGTTTCCTGGACGCTGACGTAGCAGCGGCGAGCGAGACGCCGGAGCCGAATCCGCCGGTGGTGCTTCTACACGAGGAACCCTCCGAGGACGAGTTGCAGCCGCCGTCGTCAGAGTTCACTGGCGTACCGGGTTTGCTGGAGCACGAAGGAGCGGACGCCATTCCGCAGTCCGGTATCAGGGGAGGAGGAGTCGTCGACGAAGGCGGCGTTGGGTGCCGCTGGTGTTGCCTCGGGAAGCCTCGGTAGGCGACCGCAGATCGGGCGGCGGCGGGGAGCCTTCCTCGTCGAAGAAGCCACCGGCGCCAGGTCGGAACCGGAAGGGGGAGTGCTGAGACGCCGTCGCCGACACGGGACTACCCGGTAACGTGTAGGGCGAGAAGCGGTGCTGCTTTAGCCTGGCGGCAACTTCGGAGTAGCCCGCCGGGTTGAGCAGCGGGTGGTTGGCTGCCATCAGGAAGGAGAGCGCAGCTGGAGTTGTCGCCACACCGGGAGGAGATGTCGGCAGACCTGCGGCGGCGGCTGCTGCGGCTGCCGCAGCGGCGGCGGCGGCGCCGGGGAAGAACAGCTGCGGCAACGTCAGGCCCGGCGGGTACAGAGACGGCGGGTAGAAGTACGGCAGCAAAGGCGACGGCTGCGGGAGACCGGAGACCGCTGCGCTCGAAGACAGCTTGCCGCCTCGGTCGTGAAGGTCGATCGAGCCGGTGCTGCTGAGAGGAGAGCGCCCGTCGAGCCGGTCGTCGCGCCGGTCATCTGCGGTGGCATGCGCAGGAATGCAATTGAGACGACAAAAACGAAAGCACCATTCGCCTGAAATGTTTCATAATGAACGTATGCTTGAAGTATTGTGTCAAATTGGCACATCACCTGCCACAGTTTCCCATTTTGACTTCCTGTAATTTGTATCCCTGTTTTCCAAGCCCTGGGGTACGGATCCTGTCAAGCCTGATCTACAGCGTTTTTGTCTGTACCCACCAAGCTCCAGTGAGTGTCTTTGAAGCTAGAAATATATGCTGATTGATTGATTTGTTAATTGATTGATTAGCGTCCTACAACGGCATCAATGAAACTCCGAAAAAAGAAACACTGCAATTCAGCTGTTTTGCTGTGCTATATATGAACGGGACATGAGCAGCTGTACCTACACAATGGAGTGAAATCGGTGTTAGAGTGCTTGAGCTGAACTGCGACATTGGGCACACCACTTATAAAATCTGACAAAGCTGTGCTTACCATTGTCAAATTGCTCAGTATGATCTTCATAAACCGGGGCCCCATGGAAATACTCAAATAGTGTTCCCGTGTATGTGCTATCTCTAAACTCCCTTGAGCAGGTAGCTCCACTATTAATATACAACAGACGAGACTAAATACAGCAGTTTCATGCTGCAGAATCTTCCTGTCGACTTCCAACTAAGCCACACCCAGTTGCAAGTCGCAAACTTGCCTGACACCTACGTTAGCGCAGGCCGCAAACAAGTGCGTAGCGTCAGCATGAAGATTAGCCTACCGCTGTCCCGACCGGGGCTGGCACCCAGCACGCCATCCGGCCTAAGGTCCGACGCCTCGCCGACGTCCAACTTGTCGTCGTCGTCGCTCGAGTCCTTCCTGACCGGACACCAGTGTCGTGTGGTGGTGGTTGGTGGCCGACAGGCGGCTTCCCACAGACGAGCCCTGGGAGCCACCGTGCAGGGAAGAGGGCGCCTGCTGCAGAAGCATCGCCTGTCTCCTGCGTCGAAGGGAGGGCGAACCCAACCGTAGGCTTCCTATAGCAACTGTTGCGGTGCAAAACAACGATTGACGCATTGCATCGTTCATAATAGAATAATTTCTAAGCCTTCAAGCACCTTGATTATGACGCCATATTAAGCAGCCTTTCAATATCTCGATGTTCTTGTCCTTTGTAGAGTGAGCAACTGTAAGTGGCACCGTGCGTTACCTCACTCTCTCTCTCCCTTTCTCTCTTCTTTCATTTTAAATTCTGAACTTCCCTTATTTCGTACTACACTGACTCATGTTTTAATTAATTTAACTTGCCTCAGAACAATGCAGGTAGACATTAAAAAGAAATGGTTTGTACTGAAAAACCGATGATTCTCTGTTTCGCAAGAGCAGTCTAACGTTTCGGACGTTCATAATTTGATCAGAGGAAATGAATCAATTCGCAGGCCGGTCGATCTATAATACCGAGGCGCACATATAATAAAGCCGCCGAGCCACGTGTGTGCCATCTATACTTTTATGAAGTATTCAGCATCCCGTTCTTTTTCTTTAAAAATGCGTGTATTTCTCTCCAAAATAATAAAGGTATATAAATTGGGGCTAGCAGATTAGTAGTGATCTCATCCCATCTCGCAACAGTTGTGAGTAAAACTTCATTAGACGAAATATTTACATGAGGTTTATACGTGAACTCAGATTTATAATAATTACACATTCTTCCTACTCTGATTTATGGAAAATTTTGACATTTCATTCAGTGAAACTATGATGACTATACCTATAAGTGAAGTTTATATAACATGTGTGGACACCTTCCTCGAATTCGACATTAGACCGAAAGGGAATCGTGGCGAGGGTAATTTTCGAAAGCGGCATATACATCTCTAATAGCAAAGTTCCTTGAAACTTCATGTACACTCTGTTATGGTATGATCTTTATTTTGGTTTAAATCGGAGACAAACGCAGTAGCGCCGAGGCATCGCCTTTCTTCGTTCACTCCGTGCCAACCTACTTATAACGGAACCAACGAGATAGCGTCACTCCATGCCAAGCTATAGTATACTTATAACGGAACCTACGAGATAGCGAGATACGCCTACGAGATACCCTTACAGCGCGCACAAGCACGACCGTGCAACGACATTAACAAAATTAATGATCGTTAGAGCACTCGCATTTTGACTTCGTCTAACACGCACGCATTTGGGGAAGTATGCGGGCACTCGGAAACATAAAAAGAAAGAAAGAAAGAAAGGAAAGAAGAAAGAAAGGAAAGAAGGAAGAAAAGAAAGAAAGAAAGAAGGAAAGAAAGAAAGAAAGAAAGAAGAAAGAAAGAAAGAAAGAAAGAAAGAAAGAAAGAAAGAAAGAAAGAAAGAAAATCATTCGTCAGGCACCAGCACGTGTACAAAGCTCATTACCATGGGAACACCCTCGTTAATGGTTACCCCCCTCTTCGAGTCATGAACCGCGGTGAAGACAGCGAGGCGCGCACGCTCATCGGGCTTTATAGCTCCGACTCGAGACGCGGTTGTTTCAGAGGGGAAAAAAAAAAATGTAAGGGCCACCAGCGAAGCCACGCGTACGTGACGCGGCATAGCTGCAGCCTCCGACAAACCAGAGCGCTTATTAATAGAACCGCGCATTACCGCGACCAAAGTGGAGAATATATAATGAACAGGGAACTCCGAGGAAGCTATGTAGGGCGTTTATGTGTGTTTATGTTGGGGCTATACAGAACACAGGCCGTATAGCTCATGCAAGAAAGAACGCACCCGCACGCTTACGTACGCCGCCTACGCGCTCGCGCTGATGGTTTGAGCGACGTGATGACGGGCCGGTTGGGGAGCTTGAAGAATCAAAGAGAGTGAAATAAGAGAAACCAAAAAGGTTAAATGGATGAACGGTGTACGAAGCGGCCACGTTATGTTAAAGCACAGCTCGCTCACGCTCGCCCCATCAATCCTGGCACTGCCCTTTGACGAATGGTGGCCGTGCGAGCGCATCTAATAGTCGTATAAAAGACTGGTTTTATGTGGGAAACCGCGTGTACCGTTAGGCCTGCAGACGGAACGTTTATGAGCGGTAGAGAGAGAGAGAGAGAGAGAGATAAAGATGCAAGGAAAGGCAGGGAGGTTAATCAGGCGCACATCCAGTTTGCTACCCTGCACTGGGGAAGGGATGAAGGGGAGAGAAGAGGTTGCTTAACCGGCCTATGTGCGGTAGACTATGCAGACAGTGCATGCGGCTGCCCCCGCTTTATAAACCTTGTAAACGTTCTCTTTCTCCACCCTCATCCCCCTCTATCTCGTGGGACGAACGGCCACAAAGCCCAATGTGCGCGCGAATGCGGGTAATTGTGTAAACATGTTTCCATGCACAACACATTCGCTCAAGTGTATTGGTGGCACCAGATTGTTGATGAAATGTTGACTGCCTATACTGGTCCCACACACTTATGCTGTGTGACTTCAGCTGACACTTTTGTTGCGTGAACTACGTCTGCGTTTTCCGTGCGACAAACGACTACGCTTCTGTTATAAAACTGCCACTTGGGAAAAGCTGGTTTTCTAATTAGCAAAGGCGGTCACAGGATCGATTATGAACTGAGTATACATTTTACCTGCCAAGGACTAAGTACAAGCATAAACGTTTACGTTCTTTAATCAAGATGACTTCGACGTAAGACAAGGGCGCATTGCGGGAGAGCTCCTCACTGTTAACATCGCACACACACGAGTTATACAGAAACAGAAGTGGTAGCTAGATGAGTTTCTTAGCCGATCGTCAGTCTCTCAGATAGACAAACAACATTTGTTTTTAGTTTTTCACATTTGGCAGCAAATTGCCTGCGCTGGACATGACGGCAATTGTAAAGCTCCTCGCACATTATACGTATACGTTGCAACCAAGTGCCCGGTCATCATTGTCCTCGAGGAGTTTATCTACTGCACAGTAGGTCCTGTCACATGGAAAACGTGTTCTTGTCATGGATTCAATAATATGGAACTGCTCCACGGCTGCGACACGGACGGTGACAGCAACGTGTCCATGTAAGTGGACCGAACGCGGGCCGACAACAACCTGTGGTGCCACACAGTGGGCACGAAAGTTGTCGTTTTCGCAAACGCCGACCTACTCACGAAAACGTGTCCTCGTGGCTATCGAATTACTCTTGAAACGAACAAGTTCTATCCAATGATGACGCCAGACGTTCTAGCCCATCATGACGTTGAATCAGGTTGAAAAAATAAAACTCCCACTATCGCGATCCAAGTTTGTTTAGAGAACAATAATTCGAGCACTACGCAACATGTCTATAATGAGAAATGAAGGCGCTAATTGGGTCTGTTAAAGCATAGAGCTTAGGTGTCAAGAGGTGTGAAGCCCCCTGTGGAGCAGTCCCGAGGTGGAGCATCGGCGTTCCCCTCCTTCCCTCTACCTCTTATCTGGTTCCTCTGGTGCCATAAAGAAAGCAGGACAAACGCTTTTCGACTTGTTCCAAAATCCCTGTGCATGCTTTGTAACAAAAGACCGACCCTCCACGATGGTATAGTGGTATACCGGTACTCGGCTTCTGCCCCGATGGTCGCGGAATCGAATGCCAGCCCCGGCGGCCGCACTTTTTTCGCTGGAGGTGAAAATGCTTGACGTCCATGCATGCACTTAGATGTAGGCGCACATTAAGGAACCCAGGTGATCGATATTTCCGGAGCCCTCCCCGGCATCCCTCATAATAATATCTTTGTTTTCAGACATGGGACCGCCAGCACTTATTATCACTAATAAAAGCCCGTACGTATGCGTAACGGGGTCACGACGCCCTCTATAGGTTAATAAAGCTTGCGCGATATATGCCCAGTATTCGAAGGACTAAGTGTGGCGAGGCGCCACGGTGATATAGCGCGTGTAAGTGTGTCGGAGCATAATGCGACGCAAGCTAAACATGCACGCGCACGACGAATGAGGCGAGCCACGCACGTCCACGTCGTTGTGGGCGTCAAGCGCAGACAAGAAAGCGAACGAAAGAAGGGCGGGGCGTTGATTAACGGGCACGCTCTGTAGGCTTCGGCGCACGTTTAAACATACGCTTTATACGCACACACAGCGCCAAAGCGGAACAAGAGTGCTTTAAAGTACGCTATTAGTGCGAGAAAACGATCAAAGAGGTCACAAATCTGGCAGAACTACACAGAAACACGAGGCGCTGAAAAGCGTCGAAGGATGACCCGCGGGTTGCAAGAATAAGCGCGATTTCAATAATGGCCTTCCCTGCTTGCCACCCGGAGAGACAAAACGCCCTATATATACATCGTCTATATACTCGTAAGCATACGTCCGCATGCATGGCGTATGCTGCATGTGCTCGGAATATTACACCTACGCGCAGACGTTAACAGCTTGTTAATGAATATACGTGAGTATCGTAAGCAACGGAGTGCGCATAATATATACCGTCACCGGCTAATTAACGACGCGTCGGGTGCCTCTTAAAAGCCAACGGGCGCGGTCGCGCGAGCGTTTTGCTCCATCCTAGCGGGGGCGCCAACTGGAATCGCGCGGGCATTGCGTATACATACGCGCTCGTCTGATCGCATATTCACGACGATGATCCGTGCAAGCGACGGTGCCGCGCCGTGTGCCCGTCGTACGCAAAAAAAAGGTGCCCGGTGTACTTGTATGACATGCTTATGGCGAGTATATACACCGTTGCGACAGACGTGATCGGGGAGCGCGTTCAAACGGTCGCGACAGTCCACAGCCAACCGTCTCTCTGTGCCTCGTTCGCTGTGTCGCCTTCGCTGTCGCTGGAGGTGAGGCAATGCAACGGGCGTGTGCACAAATGTCATACGCTACGCAATGCGTGCAGTGACGGCATGTCGGCGACGAATCGCTTAGCGCTCGGACTGGCATGTCGGCGACGAATCGCTTAGCGCTCGGACTCGACTGCGGGACAGATGTCGATGCGCGACCTGTCGCGTTCGGCGGAACGCTTCGTGCATCGTGTGTGGCTCGCAAAGGCCGCGAAAGCTCTCTTCCATGCATCAGCAATAACATACGCTGCTTCGATCAAGCCTTCAAGCATCAAGCCTTCGATGAACGAAGGCTTGATGCACGAACTGACGCACAGGGCGTGGATGCAATGGAAACCGCCCACGTAGGAGGCGGCATGCTATACAGGTTTGCTCGAACGCGTGGCCAGCGAACGTCATCGGCACGAATGGGGTGTAAAACTCACCGAAAGACCAATACGCGAGTCACTCAGAAAAGAGCGTGTGCTGTGCTCACAAATGCCTGAAGCATCATTGCAACATCTGTCTCTATCATGTATCGCGATACAACAAAGCACTGCCACAGGGCTCCATGTATATGGTCGCATTCGCAGACCCATATAGTTCTAAGCACTACGGAAAAGCGGCGCCACACAAAAGACGTTCATCCAGAACGGCACCAATATGCCAAACGCTATTGAACGCTGACTGACAGATTGAAAACAAGAATCACAATGTGACGATGATGGGAGTGTACACTAGAACGTGGCCAGTGACGCTATAGTCAAACACTAAAGAAACTGAGTATAATGAGTGCACCTGCACCTAAACCGAAAGTATACGAAATACGACGGCTAACTCTCTTTACTTTAGTGTGCATGCAACGGCTCTGCCGAGATGCTTGCTTGCTGCTGGTAACGGGTGAACAATCTGAAGGCTTGCGCGCCCTCGTTCCGATCCCCATTAACGTCCACGGGGACAGCGCAAATGGAGTCGCGAAGCACGCGATTCGTTTATTACGTGACTTTCGCAAAGCAATGACAAACTCCGAGTTTGAGCGTAGTGGATAATTGCCGTTACACGACCCCGCATGCGTATTACGGGCGTCTTTTTTGTCCGTGCAACCATCGGGACACTTTGTTGTATCATATGGAGCTAATGACTTCAAAAGAAGTCTGTGTTCCGTGCGAGTTCAAGGGGTGAGGAGAATCCGGGCCTGTATATAGCTTAGAAACAGAATAAAACGAACTGGTCCCATGATGGACCCTGTGTTGTAGCGGAATAGCAGGGAGGCAGACTTTTTCTAGTGAGACGACGACAGAGAAAAAACACGTCCTTTCAGTTTGAACGCATCACGAAGACTGGTTTATTCGTTCGCTATGTACCGCTGTCGTAGAGAGGGGAAGAAAAAAAGGAAAAGCAAACAGAGAAGCACAAGTATTGTCAAAGAGTTTCCTCCGCACCCCGCACGTGCGACGGTCTTCAAGGACAGATGGACAAAACGCTTTCCGCGTGTTCGAGAAGGGTCATTGTGGCCCTCACCCCCTTTTCCCTTCACGGCTGGGCTTGTAGGTAAAAACAGATGTCAAGGACGCCCTTCGCTCCTTTCGCATTGCCCGTCACGCGAACCACCCGGAGACGAGTCCCTCCGAGTTGCCCCTCCTCCCCCTCTTCGCCGCGGAGTCTTTCAATTAACGCTCCCCCGAAGCGGGGGCTGCTTCCCAGTATGCGACAAATACAACAACCTCCCCCGGATGAGCGAACTCTTGAGCTCATTGTCGGTCGACTTCTAGCGGATAAAGCAGCTGTATTGGTCGTTTCACCACCGTTCCCCCGCTTAGTTTCAAACTGCAGGCCCGCACCCTGCCGTCCCTGCCCTTGAACGTTTCCTTGATTCTGGCGATCTTCCACATGTGTCGTTTGAGATGATCTTCCTTTAAAAGAACTAAATCGTCTATCTTTAGGTCACTCGATGTCGTTGGCCGGGACAGATGCGCCGATCGAAGCTCCAATAAGTACTCTCTCCGCCACCGTCTCCAGAATCCTTCAGCCATGGCAGACCGGTACTTCCAGCGTCGTGAGATATGCGCGTCACCGCCCGGAATTTCGGCTGGCAGGTGGTGTGGAGGAAGGGTTGTCAGCTTTCTTCCGACGAGGAAGTGCGCCGGCGACAGTGGTTCTGGCTCTTGAGCATCATCGTAGGTGAAAGTCAATGGGCGTGAGTTTATTACGGCCTCGACTTCGTACAAGACAGTTGTGAGTTCTTCAAAGCTTAAACTGCTCCGACCTAACACCTTGCGCAACGCTACCTTCACCGATCGCACCAACCGTTCCCAGAATCCGCCCCACCAAGCTGCCCTTTCAACAATAAACTTCCACCTGATCTGGTTTCCGGCGAAGTATGACTGCATTTCCTCTGATTTTAGTAGCGTGAACATTGCATTCAGATCTTTTGCTGCTCTCTTGAAGGTTAGCGCGTTGTCCGAATAAATAGTCGAGCAGATTCCCCTGCGAGCCACGAAGCGCTTGAAAGCCAGGAGAAAGGCTGTAGTCGACATGTCGCTAACGAGCTCAAGATGGACGGCACGTGTCACAGCGCAGGTTAAAATTGCGATGTAACATTTTCGGGCACCGCGCGACTCTTGACAAATCAAAGGTCCTGCGAAATCGATGCCGACAGTGTCGAACGGATTTCCTTCTGTTACTCTGTCAGCTGGAAGTGGTGCCACTGGTTCCGTGGCTTGAGGGCAACTTTGTTTGCGACAGATGAGGCACTGCTTGATAACCTTTTTTACGGCCTGGCGCCCTCGGATGATCCAATACGACTCTCGCAATGACGCCAAGGTGTCGCGCACCCCTGAGTGTAGCATTCTCACGTGCTCTTTCCTTATGAGCAGTAGCGTGAAGGGATGAGTGCTAGGTAGAATGATGGGATGTTTAGTCTCTTCGTGGTTGTCGGTGAATTGCAAGCGTCCACCAACTCGCATGAGACCTTCCCCGTCAAGGTACGGACTGAGTGGCAGAACAGGAGAGCCTTTGTGCAGTGGTCTTTGGGCTTTCAAGTTGGAAATGTCGTCACTGAATGCTTCTCCTTGAGTTGTTGCCAACCAGTACCTCTCAGCATCGATCACCTCTTCAGCTCGTAGCGGACCACCTTTCCTTTCCTTCCCGCGGCGGCAATTGTTGACAAAGCGGCGGACCCACGCAGTTAAGCGCACGACTCTGCTGCATGAGCTGAACTCCTCTACTTTCAGCACTGCCTCGAACGGCGATGATATTACGGGCATCACCGTCACTTTTCGCTCTTCCAGGTGACATTCTACTGCCCCTGGGCTCTGCTCACCGGTCGTTGGCCAATGCGTCTTATCCTTGTGAAGCCAGTGTGGTCCTCTCCACCACAATTCGCTTTCTAACAAGGCTGATGGGAGGATACCGCGAGTGATTAGGTCAGCGGGGTTGTCTAGTCCTGGGCAGTGCCTCCAATCCTCGGGATCAGTCAGCGCCTGAACCTCTGATACTCGGTTTGCCACGAAGGGCTTCCATCTGGCAGCGTTTCCTTTAATCCAGTGCATAGCCACTGTGGAATCGGTCCAAAGGATGGCAGCAGCATTCTGGAGGTTCAAGGCCTTGGCAACGTAGTGGCACAGTCGAGCACCAATGAGGGCCCCCATCAGCTCTAGTCGGGGTAACGAGAGGCGCTTCAAAGGGGCAACTCTTGATTTGGCCATAATTAGGCTTATATTGATTATTCCTTGAGCAGACTTGCATGCAACGTATCCGACAGCACCGTAGGCCTTTGGGCTGGCATCGCAGAAAATGTGCAACACCTTCTCTGTCTTTTCATCTCGGAAATCCCTTGCGATGATCCTCGGAATGGACACCGCCTTGATGCATTGAAGCTCTTCACACCAGCACTTCCACTCCGCTTGCATCAATTCTGGCAAGGGGTCGTCCCAACCCGCTCCCAACTCCCACAACCTTTGGAACATTGTCTTTACGTACAGTGTTGTAGGAGCGATAAACCCAAAGGGGTCGAAAATTCTGGCTGAGACTTGCAATACGAATCTCTTGCTGTCGGCTCTTGTGGTGAGGAATTCAAGAAGTGAGGTCAGATTGTACTCGAAGTTATCTGTATGAGCATTCCAACCTACTCCCAATACCTTGGTGGCTGCAGGAAGTTCGGCATTTGCATTCCTCTTCGCCACGTTCCCATCCTCTATGAAGTTGACTAAATCGTGGTCGTTAGACATCCACTTGTGGAGCCGCATTCCTGCTTGAGATAATATATCGCTTGATTCCTGGCATAGCACTTTACCCTGTTCGAGGGTGTCGACCCCTGTCACAAGGTCGTCAACATAGAGATGGCTGCGCAGGATGTTCGCAGTCTCAGCATACTGCTCTGGGAGTCCTTCAAGATGGTGTCGTAATGTTGCGGCTAATAGGAATGGGCTGGATGTAACACCGAACGGAACGCGCGTCATCCGGTAGGCCGCCACCGCTGGAAGTTCTTCACCTTTCTTCGGAGTGGCAGCATACCAGAGAAACCGCACAGCGTTCCGGTCACCCTCTGACAGAGATATTTGAAGGAATGCCTTTTCAATATCCGCGACGATGCCGATGTTGTAAGTGCGGAAGTTGATCAACAAATCAATGAGCTCTGGATTAAGTTTTGGACCACTTTCCAAAACATCATTCAGTGAGAGGCGATCTTTGGCACTTGATGATGCGTCGAACACCACCCTCACTTTTGTTGTCAGGCTTTCTTGTCGAACAACTGCTTGATGTGGCATGTAATACACCGGACCTTCCGAAGCGCTGCAATGCTTGTTGGCTGGCTCTGCATAGCCCTTTTCGATGTATTCTCGGAGGCAGGCGTCATATTCCACGATCAAGGAATCTCCCTTCAAAAGGCGCGTCGTGTTGGCTCTAAGACGCTTCGCGGCGCACTCGTAGTTGTCGTCGAGCTCATCAACCATAGGCTTCCAGGGGAAAGACACTGTGTACCGCCCATGCTCAAATTTGACGGTTTCTTTGTAGTGCTGTTGGATTGCGTCTTGGTGGCGAGCTGGTTCGTGTTCCTGGATACCAATGTGTTCGAGCTCCCAGAATGACCTCAACTGTGCTGATATTTCTTTGTTAGTTTGTTCGCTCACTGCTACTCGCATTACGCCAGCAACAGAGGGACAGACTCCTGGTGACCTTTTTGCGCCTACCTGGCCCTGGACTGTCCACCCAAATGCAGTTTCTACTGCCATCAGCTTGGAGGTTAGGCGCTTAGTGGATCCCGTGACAATTTCCCAATAATGATCAGCGCCGATCAGAAGATCAATGTTTTCACTTCCGTCACCCTGCGCGACGTCCGCGACTGGCAAGCCAAATTTCGAAAGTTCCAGAAGAACTGACTTTAAAGGCGCAGCCATTATATCTGCGCAGATGCAGGGAACTTCGAGGGCCTCCACTCGCGCCCTTTTCCCGTCGTACTGGCTTTGCAGCCACAGCTCGACCAGACGCGCTTTAGTGCGGGTTATAGCGGACTTGTCGCCGAAGGCATAGATTTTAAGTTCCTCTTCCCCAAGCACGTTCAACTGCAGTCTTTCAGACAACTTGCGATGGATGAACGTCCTTTGACTGCCACCATCTAGGAGAAGCCTGACAAGCGTACTTTTGTGCGGTCCCACTGTCCAAGCTCGTGCTGTTTGCAGAAGAAACTGATGCCCCTCCATGCACATAAATTTCTCCTCTTAGCCTAGAGAAGACTTTAGCACTGTGGCTTGTCCTGTCGCTGGTGGAGAGGATGCATTCTGTTCACCACTGCCACGGTATTCTCTGAAATCAGGATCACACATAGCCGTGAGGTGTTTTCCGCTACAGTTGGCACACCTGAGCCATTTGGCCTTACGGCACTCTCTTGACGTGTGCCCCTTTACTGTGCAGCGGAAACATCTATTCTCACGCTTCAGCATCTCTCTTTTATCAGCTGCCGACATCTCTGCATCGCAGTCACCGCTTTCGTGGCACCCTGACGAACAAAACAGACACCCTTTTCTCTCCTTGGTCATGGTATGCAGTGCAGCGGCTGAAGACATTCTCGCCGCTTTAAAGGTGCTGTTACGGTTTTCGACAGACGATTCTACACACATGCCCCTTGGTGTTTCGGCCCGCTGTATAATCTCCCGTGCCTCTACCTCGACTCTCAAAAAATGCGCAAATGCCTCCAGTTCACTGCCTCCTGTAGTAGCGCCCTTTCGTCGACAGTATTCGAGATGAAGGTCCGCAGGCACCGCCTTCTTTACTACTGTCAGGAGCAGAGCTCCGTACGTGCTGACACCGACGCCAAGAGAAGTGAGGCTCCGTACACCTCTCTCTACTTCGTCAACGAGGCTCCGAAGTTGGCTGAGGTTCCGCGAGTCACGCACTGACTTGATATTGAGCAGTCTGGACATGTGATCCTCGATTATGGCTTCTTTACGACCGAACCTTTCCTTTAACAGCGAGAGAGCAACTTCGTAGTTTCCGTCGGACAAATCAAGACCCGCAACAGCAGCCGCTGCTTTTCCTGTTAAGTAACTGTTCAGGTACTTGAACTTGTCCACGTTTGACAGGTGGTGGTTAGCGTTTATTGTCGTGTCGAACTGACTCCAAAAGCCTTGCCACTGTCGAAGCTCGCCGTTGAACTTTGCTATCTCTAGTTTTGGCAGCTTTACTGTGGGGGTTACTTGCGGGATGTTACGGCTAGATTCTCTTTGATCTGAGGAACTTGAGGTGCGATCTAGCGAAGCGCTCACTGATGCGGCGTTAGTGCAGCTAAGCTCACGTAGCATGAGCTGTACTTTAGTCCTTGCTACGTTGATCTTTTCTTTGTAGTTCTCGGAGCATGCAATTTCCTCTTCTAATGCATCATCTTCTACGCCAATCTCAATTTCCCGATCTAGCTCTTTGAGTGAGTCTTCCTTAAGGGTGAGAAGGTTGATCTTTTCTTCAAGCTCACCGAGTGACGCGTCGTCCTCCATGGTAGCGATGTCATTGAGCAGCTTTGTTGTTGACGTTCGCACCACGGCCCTTTTGCGCTTCATCCTGTCGATGTCCATCTTTGGGTCCCTAATTCCCGGGTTTTGGCACCAAAAAATGTTGTAGCGGAATAGCAGGGAGGCAGACTTTTTCTAGTGAGACGACGACAGAGAAAAAAACACGTCCTTTCAGTTTGAACGCATCACGAAGACTGGTTTATTCGTTCGCTATGTACCGCTGTCGTAGAGAGGGGAAGAAAAAAAGGAACAGCAAACAGAGAAGCACAAGTATTGTCAAAGAGTTTCCTCCGCACCCCGCACGTGCGACGGTCTTCAAGGACAGATGGACAAAACGCTTTCCGCGTGTTCGAGAAGGGTCATTGTGGCCCTCACCCCCTTTTCCCTTCACGGCTGGGCTTGTAGGTAAAAACAGATGTCAAGGACGCCCTTCGCTCCTTTCGCATTGCCCGTCACGCGAACCACCCGGAGACGAGTCCCTCCGAGTTGCCCCTCCTCCCCCTCTTCGCCGCGGAGTCTTTCAATTAACGCTCCCCCGAAGCGGGGGCTGCTTCCCAGTATGCGACAAATACAACACCCTGTTCAGCGGAAGCAGAAACTTGATCGGAGCTTTATGACGTCATGCAGCCCGATCGATCCTGGCAAATCGCAGTGGAAGGTTTCAAAATCTCACAGCTTGTGAGTTGGAGTATTTCGCCGTTGGAGGGCCAGCACAATCATTACGAGTTGTAGCTATATCTATAACGTTGTCAAACGTTAACGTCTCAGTCAAAAGGAGAATGCTGGCCGCACACCATCCCCTTCATGCCCGAGGACTCCACCATCAGCCTTCGAGCAGTAAACAGGCAAGCTCTCTCTATGTACTTTGAGGGGGTAGCACCAAACGACATTAAGGATATCCGGGTGAACACGCGGAAGAATATTCTAGCTGTGGACACAATGACTGCCAGCGCCATAGACAAGCTTCGCAGAGTATCAGATTTGGGAGGCATCAAAGTACGACCGGCTATTCCAATGGACGGTGCCTGCACGGCGGGAGTAATCTACGACATTGATTTGGCCATAGCAAACTCGGACCTCCCAACTCTCATAAAACCAGCGAACGAAGGAGTTCTCATCGCGAATGTACTTCGCCTCGGAAACACCCGATGTGTAAAGATAATGTTCAAAGGAGATTCCATTCCGTCGCATGTCAAAGTGGGACACTTCCGACATCCTGTTCGACCATTTGTCCCTAAACCACTCCAGTGCCATAACTGCATGAAAATTGGTCACATCAAGAGTGTATGTACAAACACCACAGTATGCCCCCGATGCGCTGAGCCGCACACTGCAGACGCATGTCGGGCAACAAGTCTGAAGTGCAGAAACTGTGATGGTCCGCATGATGCTGCATCCAAGGAATGCCCTCGGATTAAGAAGGAAATCGCCATTATCAAACAAATGGTTAGGGACAATTCAACCCACAGAGAGGCTGCTGAAAGGGTACGGCGGCGACGTAGTCGCCGACGGAGGCGTGTAGGACAGAGTGTTGCGCATAACCCATTTCCTCCGAGCACGAGTGAAGTAGTAAGCACGAAGCGAAAAGAAGTGGAGAAGCTCACAGCTGCGGATGAGTGGCCTACGCTTCCGCGTACACAGCCTGCAAAGGAGCCTCCTGCGAGGCCTCGCCGCCCTACACCTTCCACCGAGTCTACTTCCGTTGAGGATGTGTCAAGGGTCGATCGACAGATCATCCCGATGTTACGATCCCTCGTCGCTGTCATGGCAGACATACTAAGAAGCCTGGGAACTCCAACCGCTCGAAGCGGGTTACAGGTGTTGGACGCGCTGAGCCCAGTCCTCGCCTCCCTCGCGTAGAGTCATGGCAGGAGATCAACAATCGTTCCGCAAAGACGTCAGAGAAGCATCAGTCATCCAGTGGAACGCAAGAGGACTTAGATCACGGATTTCCGATTTTCGTCAGTACGTGTTTTCTAACCTTTTCCCAATCATCGTAATATGTGAACCGAAATTATCAAACCCGATCAGGCTATCTGGCTACGAATCAATCCCGTCCAAAACCCGAAACGAAAGCAGCAAGGTCATTGTGTATATTCGTCGGGAGCTTACCTACATCATTCAACCTGTGTCGCCTCATGATGAGAACCAATATGTTTGCTTGACTGTGAAGCAGAAAACCCTCACCTTCACATTAATAGGTGTCTACTTATCTCCCTCAGCCCGTTTTGATTGCCAAAGACTGGATGACATTCTTTCGAGCGTCCCGGATCCGTGGATAATTATAGGGGACTTCAACGCCCACCACCCAATCTGGGGAAGTTCAAAAGTCAATACCACGGGCCGGAGGCTGGCTTCATTTGTATCGACTCATGAACTGTCTCTACTTAATGATGGGAGCCCTACATTTCTGCGAGGATCAACGTACAGCAGCTGTTTGGACTTGACGTTCGTGTCACGTCGCTTCGCCACAAGCGTTAAGTGGTTTTTAGACATCGAGACACATGGTAGCGATCACATCCCCAGTTATCTCACCATCGAAGGCTTTGCTAGCGACCACCCGCCGAAAACCGTACGGAGGATCGATCTTTCAGCATTCACAACCAACATTGAACACGCTTGTGAAAAAGGCTTAACCTCTGGCATTGAGCAAGCGATCAAACAAGCAGCGCAGAGTGCGATGCGCACGCTGGCATATTCTTCAAGGCCCTCAGAAACGGACATGGAGTTAGAGCGACTCCGTGCGACTCGTCGGCGTGCGGAGCGTAAATATCGACGCACAAAATCCATTCAAGATCTACGGATGGCCAGGCGCATGCAAAAGAAGATCCAGCGTCGCATAGACAAACTGGAGTTTCAACGGTGGGCGAAATTTTGCGCGAGTCTAGACCCTCGCAAACCGCTTTCTCAAATATGGCGAACCGTGCGAGGCCTACGCACATTTCCCCAACAACGTTTTCCGTTTAAAGCCTTGGCCCTTTTCCAAAATAGAAAGGATATCGAGGTAGCGGAAGATTTTTGTAGGAAGATTGCGGGCCCACCAAATTGCACAGAAGCCCTTACTGCTGATTACACGCCACATTCACTTGACCCGCACCTGGACCTGCCGTTTTCAATGGAAGAACTGAATGTGGCTCTTGCTTCATGCAATCGATCGTCATCGCCTGGGCCGGATGGCATATCATACCGCCTATTATGCAATCTCGGTGATCGAGCACGAAGTGCTTTGCTGGAAGTATTCAATGAGTCTTGGAGAGATGGAACGGTCCCCAGAGAGTGGAAAACAAGCCGGTTGGTTGCACTTCTCAAACCTGGAAAATCGCCTCTAGAGCTGACATCATACCGCCCAATAGCGCTGGCTAGTTGCGTAGGGAAGCTGATGGAGCGAATGATCCTTGCCAGACTCGAGTGGTTCCTAGAACGCCATAGAATATATCCAGACGCCATGGCCGGTTTTCGTCGTCTTCGGAGCTCCATTGACAATGTCATTGACCTGGTGACCTACGTACAACACCAGAAAATGAGCAGACGGTTATCTGTCGCACTATTTTTAGATGTCAAAGGAGCATATGACAATGTTTCTCACGAAGCCATACTTGACGCCCTCGAGTCAGTTGGTTTGGGTGGGCGAGTGTACCGCTGGATCCAATGCTACCTACATATGAGATCATTGTTTATGCAAACTGATGATGGGCCGACTTCTGAACATTATACACACCGTGGTGTTCCTCAAGGTGGTGTATTGAGCCCCACACTGTTCAACCTGGTTCTTATCGGTCTCGTTGAACGCATACCAGATTCCGTGCAGATATCTCTCTATGCAGATGATATTTGTGCCTGGACATCAGGTGTAACACGTCCTCAGGTACGTGCGAGACTCCAGAAAGCAGCGAATTCAATATCGGCGTACCTTAGAGAACAAGGCCTCGAGATTTCTCCTGAGAAATCGGCGCTGGTCGCGTTCACGCGGAAGGCAATGACGTCATATCCCATCGCCATCAATGGACACAGTGTCTGCTACGCCAGGACCCACAGGTTTTTGGGGGTCACGATCGATCGAAATCTGTGCTGGAGTCCCCATGTGGCCACTCTAAAGAAGCGCCTAACGGCCATCGCACAACTTTTCAATTTCCTCGGAGGCAAAACGTGGGGCACATCAGTGCACGCGATGTTGCATTTGTACAAAACGCTGTTTCTGGGGTACCTGCGGTATAGCTTGCCGGTTCTGACGAACGCTTGCAAAAGCAGTATACGCACAATAGAAAACGCCCAGGGCCAGGCACTCAGAGTTTGTCTTGGATTACCACGCTGTACATCAACAGCGGAAACCATCGCAATCGCCAAAGATCATCCGGCCACAGTGCACATTACTTTGGAGGTGCTTAGAGCTCATATTAGACACCTTGCTCGCGCCCCTGCCCACCACCTAGCTTCGCTTCCAGAAGATCGACCGAGTGCCTCCTTCTGTAAGAGAGTATTGACTTTCCGTGAGTGCCTTCCAACAGTCTACACACCTCCGGAACGGATACTAACACCTCCTTGGTGCTTGGACCGACCAAAACTGCGCTTGACAGTGCCGGGGATTCGCAAGAAGGCGGAGCTCTCGGCGCCAGCTTTAAAGCAGATGATTCTACTCATGCTACACGAAGAATACAAAGATCATGTCAAACTTTACACGGATGGCTCGACAACTGTTGGAGGATCTGCAGGAGCTGTGATCTTCCCAGCAAGAGCCGAAACCATCCAGTTCAGAACGTCACACAAGACGACATCGACAGCCGTGGAGCTCGCGGCACTCCGCAGCGCACTCCGCAGGATTGACCAAGAGACACCACAAAAATGGAGCATTTTTACTGATTCGAAACCAGCTCTCCAATGTCTACACAATACTCTACGTCGTGGACCTCAAGATCAATTGGCGCTCGAAATACGACAACTGTACCATCACCTAATAGACGAAGGACATGACATATCTTTTCAGTGGTTACCAGGCCATTGCGGCATCATCGGTAACGAGCATGCCGACAATGCAGCTAAGAATGCTCACGAAAATGGAGTGATGG